CGAGTGGGCGGTTTCTAGCACCAGGTCAGGAGCTGGCCCTGAGCCCTCTGAGAAGCCCCCAGGCGGGAGGGTTGTGTTATGTGACACCACGGGCCACGAGGTGCTCTAAGGCTGGGCAACAGAGGACGGGTGGCCAGGGACCACAGGCAGAGAGGCCGTGCCCGGCCAGGCCCTGCCGCCTACCAGGTGCGGGGGCCTTACGCAGGCGGGTTCCCCCTGCCCCTGTGCAGAGCGCTGTCCAAGTGGCCAGCACAGTCTCCTGTCTGAAAGCCATGGTCCCGGCGCCAGCAGGAGTCACTGGGCCGGGTTGGGGGCCAGGCCCCTTCTCCAGCTCAAGGCGGAAAGGCCCAGGACCCAGGCCAGCTGGGACCAACTGCCGGGGGGCCGCAGGGCGGGGAGGACGGTGCCTGCTGGGACCCAGGCCAGGGGACCAGGCACCGAGCCCAGCACGTGGTTTTGACACAAAACAAGACACAGAGCCCGGGAAGGAGGAAGCCACGTGAAACTGAGCCAGAGAGGATGGCCAGGGCCACTGGCCAAGGAGGGTCCTACCTAGAGCCTGTGGTGGCCACAGCCCTGAGCGCACCTTGGCTCCAGACCTCCATCCCTGGGCCGGAGGGTGCCTTCTTGGACTTCGACCCTCCAGTCTGCAGTGATCGGCGGCAGCCCCCGCGAGCACTGCCTGTGGGGAACTGCCATCCCTCCCCTGGCCCAGAGATTCCAGACTGTTCCCAGAACCCCTGCTATGGCAGTTTCAGGTCCCTGCATGACCGTCCTCGGCGCCTAGGGCACGCCCCCTGCCATGGCCGTCCTCAGGGCCTAGGGCATGCCCCCTGCCATGGGACTGGCCCCCAAGAGCCACCAGAGTAAAGCTGTCTACTAAGGTAAAATGACATTCTTTTATAAAGTAAATTCGGGGCCAACGTGTGGCGTGGTGGATAAGGCACTGGACTTCCACACGGCTGGTCGCAGTTCAAGCGTCAAACTCGGAGGCTTGAAACTCACGCTGGGTGCTTGTGTGTGCGTGCCCAAAACTGCAAAAGGGCAATGGAGGAGAAAGGGTTATAGCACAACCATCCCCACTGGGGGTGATCTCTCGCTCTCTGTCTCTTCATATCTCTGTCTCTCTGGCGAGCATACGTGCCCTATAGCAAAAATCTCTTTTTTTAAAAAAAGGAAAGTGGGACCAGCAGATGGCGTAATGGCTGTCACTGGACTCCCATGTAGTCAACCGTGGTTCGAGTCCCAGACCCGGTGGCTTAAACTCACACTGGGCACGCATGGGAGTGTGCCCAGGATCCCGAGAGGAGAATGGAGGAGAAGGGATTGCGGTGACTTCTCGCTTTCTGTCTCCGTCTCTCTGTCTTTCTGGCGAGTGCATGTGCCCTGTAGCAAACATCTTTTCAATGAAAAGGAAAGGGGCCAGCAGGTGCCACAGTGGTTAAGGTGCGAGACTCCCACAGGGCCAACGGTAGTTTGAGTCTTGGACCTGGAGGCCTAAAATTCACACCAGGTACGGGGCCAGCAGGTGGTATGGTGGTTGGGGCACTGGACTCCCACGTGGCCAACCACGGTTTGAGTCCCAGACCTGGTGGCTTGCTTTCTCACTTTCTCTCTCTTTCTCGTTCCTTCCCTTTCTGGTTAAATTTAAAATAAATGAATAAATGAGCAAACGAAGTTAAATAAAATAATTCTTTAAGACAAATAACAACAAAAACTCACACCAGGTGCATGCGTGCTCACGCCCAGAACCCCAGGAGGGGAATGAAGGAGAGGAATTGCTGTGTGGCGTGCCATCCCCCTCGTGGGTGACTTCTCACTTTCCCTCTCACTGCCTCTCTCTGTCTCTCCAGCGTGTGAACGTGCCCTATGGCAAAAAATAAAATTAAATTAAATTAAAAGGAAGGAAGGAAGGAAGTCGGGCCTGGGACTTGCACTTTTACTGCTAGCCCTGTCTTCTGAGCTGTCACCAGGGTAACCAGAGACCCTGCTGTGCTCCAGGGTGCTGGGTCCCCACCCCGCTCTGCATGGCTTGGCCGTGCTCCCAGTGCCGAGGTGGGGCCCCCCTGCATGGGGGTCGTTGGAGGGAAGCGGGCAGCGATGGGACTGGCCTGGGCCTGGCGCCCTGGGGCAGGGCAGGATCCAACCGGGGCCACGAGGCAGCCCCTCCCTGCTCAAGTCTTGGCGGGGGGACTGGCAAGAGACAGCTGGCCGGCAGGTCCAGGTGGCTGTGCTGTCCCTCACGGCTTCTCCCCGTGCGACTGCAGTCACGCCACGCCCTTCCCGTGTCTACCGCGTTTGCAGCTGGCTGGCCACTTGGACAGAATCGTCTGGGACTCCCTGGGTGGATGCGTGGCTGGGAGGCAGAGCAGCAGCCAGACTGGCCTCCCACAGAGCCGTCCCTGGAGGGCCCACAGGGCCCGGTCCTACCCCTCTCAGATCCGTGACTGTCCCAAGAAGTGCTGGGTGGCCCGAGGCACAGTTCACACCCATGGCCCACGATGGCCCTGCCGTGCCCTGGCGCTGGGAGCTGGCTGCGTATGGAGCGGTTTTTCTCCTCCAGGCCCACACGCCTGACGCCCTGGGAAGTGCCATTGTTCCCCGCATGCTGTCATCTTCCACACGGGAAACCAGGGACCAGGGCTCCCGCGGGGCAGAGGCAGCCGCTCAAGGAACAAGAGCCCGGTCGTATGTTCTCCCCGTGGGCACCGGGGCTGCTGGGCTCGGTGGGTGCCATGCTGCGCCACGCCGCGCCCCACCTCCTTCTGAGAACAGCAGGGTCAGCAGGGTGTCTCGGCCAGCCCGGGGTGTCTCGGCCAGCCTCTCGAGGGTGCACAGCGAGCCCCCTGTGTCCAACTGTGGCCCTGGCGGGTGGACAGGCCTGGGGAGTGCGCAGCTGGGTGACCACACCTCCTCCGAGTCCTTTGAACATGTGAGCTTGGTGACATCTGTCTTCAGGGACCACTTTTTCCACCCCTGGTGGATCCTGGACACTTCTTGCCGAGAATGGTCCGTGGCCAGCATGTAGATGATGGGGTCAGCCACGCCACTGACCGTGGACAAGCTCAGGAACACCGCGGAGGCCTCAGACAGGCCAGCCTGCACGGGGCACATGGCAGCGCGGAAGTAGGAAAAGGTGATGGCTTTAATGAGGAGCACCACGTGGTACGGGGCAAAGCAGACCAGGAAGATGACCACGACCGCGATGACCAGGTGCCTCGCCTTGGCCTTCTGGGCGGCGGTCAGGCCCACGCTCCGCTGGACGCTCCTGAAGATGCGGAGGTTGGTGAAGGTGATGACGGACAGGGGCGCGGCGAAGCCCACGGCGAAGCGCGCGTAGTGGTACCTGGCGATGGTGCGGTCGATGCTCACGGTCTCGAAGCAGGTGCCGTGCTGGTCCATCCTAAACACGGGGTAGTGAACCAGGCCGACGAGGACGAACACGGCCGCGGACACGAAGATGGCGGTCCGCTGGCGGCGGTGGCCCCGGCTCTCCAGGGCGTGCACCACCGCCACGTAGCGGTCGCAGGAGATGCAGCACAGGAAGAGGATGCTGACGTAGACATTGCAGAAGAAGATGTACGCGGTGGCCTGGCAGGCCGTCGGGCCCAGGGCCCACTGGTGCTGGTTCCTGACGTAGACGATCCAGAGCGGCAGCGTGCCGATGTACAGCAGCTCGCAGAGCGCCAGGCACAGCAGGTAGACAGCCAGCACGTGGCCCCGCCGCACCTGCAGCAGCGCCAGCCACGCCGTCAGGCAGTTGGCCGGCAGGCCCAGCGCGCACACCGCGCTGTACACCGTCACCAGGATGGCTGTGCTGTCCTCATAGGACGCGTTGCAGCGCTCGGAGGGCACAGTGGGCGGTGCTGTGGTGGCGTTTCCTGGGGGCAGAGACAGACGTGAGGCAGGACTTCCCAGAAACCACCTGGAAGAGACTCGGCAAAGCGAGGGAAGGAAAAGGAGCTTTGTGGCACCTCCACACCAGTCCACCAGCGCTCCGTGGACTTTTAGACGTGGTCCTTAGACCAGGGCCAGCAGGCGGCATGGTGGTTAAGGCCGGGTCCCACACGACCAGTCTCATGGTTCAAGTCCCAGACCCAGTGGCTTGGAAAGCGCACCAGACTCGTGCCCACATGTGCCCACAGTCTTGAGAGAACGGAGGGGAGGGGACTGCAGTGTGACCCCCGTGACCTCTCACCTCTCTTCCCGCCCTCACTCTGGAGAGTGTGGAGAGCAGCCAGCCTGAAAACGTGATGGAGACGTGGCCCGTAGACACGCGCAGAAAGGCGCTTCCTGAGCTACCCCTGCAGGGCTATGAGAAGCGCCGACATACGAAAGCCGTGCCTGCCTGCTGTCGGGGTTGATCCCCAACACCCCGAAACTGGGCAGTACCGGCTAAAGGAAGTCACATGCGTCTACCAGATTGTCCCCAGAAAAGGCCAGAGGGATTATTCGGAGCCAGTCATTCTCACATCTTCAGACGATTTACACCCAAACAACTGGCGGAGCATTTCGATTCCTGCCCCTGTCCTGCCCCCGTTCTCCGCATTTGCTTCCTTCTCCCCATTCCTTTCCCCTCCCCCATTTTCTGCCCTTTCAAAGAATAAACCCGAGGCCGGCTGATTCTGGTCGCAACTTCTCCGTCAGAGAAGCTGGGCCCACCCTCTCCTTGCTTTTCTATACTCGTATGCCTTTGTGTGTCTGTCCTTGTGACTATTTCTGATCCACAGCCTTCCCCAGAGAAACGTGTTCCTGCTCAGCTGGTCCCGGCAGGACAGCACACGCTCCCTATAGCAAAAACTAAAAAGAAAGAAAGAGGAAAGAGAAAAAGATAGAAAGAGAGAGAGAGAACGAAAAGAAAGAGAGAGAGAGAGAGAGAAAGGAAGAAAGAAAGAAAGAGAGAGAGAGAGAAAGGAAGGAAGAAAGAAAGAGAGAGAGAGAGAGAGAAAGGAAGGAAGGAAGGAAGGAAGGAAGGAAGGAAGGAAGGAGAGAAAGAAAGAAAGGTGATTTTGAGACCATTGCCAGCATTGTGGGTTGAGAACTCAGGCCACACAGCACCAAATCTCTGAATTCAGTATGGTAAGTTTTCAAAAAGATGGCCTGTGGGCAACAGCAGTTGGCATAATGGTTATGTCGCTGGACTCCCATGTAGTCAACTATGGTTCGAGTCTCAGACCCGGTGGCTTAAAGTCACCCAGGATGCATGTGCGTGCGTGCCCAAGATCCCGAGAGGAGAATGGAGGAGAAGGGATTGTGACGTGGCCATCCTCCCTGGGGGGTGAGTTCTTGCTTTTCTGTCTCTCTGTCTCTCTCTCTTTCTGTTGAGCGCACACGCCCTATAGCATAAACCTCTCCAAAAACAATATGGCTTGTGTGTTCGAGAGCAAGGTCGTCTCTAACTGGAAGCAAGTGTTCTCCTAAGCGTCTGGATTTGGTGCCGCTGCATCCTCTTCCAGCCCCTTTCACGTTTTCCACCCTCCCGCCAAGCTTGGGCTCCCTCTCACCCTAATCTATATATACACTGACTGCCTCTTGGCCTGCTTGAGCACTCAGTTACTGTTTAGTTAGTGAATTTGCCCATTTCTTCTCCTAGTTCTCTCCAGGTTTGCTTTATATGTTTGGAGGTATTGTTAATTGGTGCATAGGAGTTTAAAAAATGGTTCTGTTTCCCTGGCTCTTTTTTTTTTTAAGGTTTTTGTCATAGGACACATGTGCTTGCCAGAGAGAGACAGAGAGAGGGAAAGTGAGAAAGTAGGCTGCCTTCCTACTCCTTCTTATAGCCCTGCTGCCTTCCGTCACCCCTGAGCTGTGTCCTCCCAGAATGACGTGCGGGAGCCCATCCGGCACTCCAGTGTGTGCAGCCTCATTTGAACACAGGCTCTTCGCAGGGGCCCTTCTGCTAGAATGAGGTCCTGCTTGTCACGAGGCCACGTCGCACCAGCCACCCCAGGTGAGAAAGCTGGGAAGCCAGTGGCTTCAGCTGTTGTGAGTCTGTGAGGCTCAAAGCCCCAGCAGCCGCCTCTGGCTGCAGTGGTCGCCTGGCAGCGAGCCCTCTGTGCCTGGCGGAGGCTGGGGTCTGGGGGCAACGTCCAGTGTCGGAGCCTCAGGAAACCTCCTAGGCCGGTGTCTGCCCCTGCTATCCTCCTGGGCTTGAGGGTGGGCCTTGGCCCCTCAGCCGCTGCACACAGACATCCAGAGCTGGAAAAGCTCTGCAGTCTCGGGCCAAGGCTGCGTGAGTGTCCCCATCGCCCAGGCCCCCTCACGGGCTGCCTGCCATGGTGGTGACCATCGGCCTGGACTCTGCGAGGCTTGGTGCACTGGGGCAAGGTGCTGGTTCCCTGGCAGAAGGGGTGTCAGGAAGCAATGGAGCCAGACCCCCCCACCCTCCCATGCCTTTCCCCTTGGGTTCTTTGTCACCCCAGGGAAGGACACCGGCATGGACGCCCCGAGGTCTGCCGTTCTCAAGTGCACAGTCACCATGACACAGCTGTCACCACCATCCACCCCAAACCAAAGCTCACGGGTCACGGACTACCACGACCACGGATTCAACCCGTCCCACCTGCACCCTCCGTCCTGTTCTACGTGCTGGCCCCATGTCCCCATGGGCATGAGCCTGGGTGCCTGGAGGGGGGTCATGACACGTAGCCAGTCTAGCTGCACCCCATGGGATGTCACCACAGGCCAGGCTTACGGTCGCTCAGGCTGGGACTTCCCTCATTGGGAAGGCAGAATGACCTTCCACAGCGAGGGCCATTCCCGAATGCCATGAGCAGGATCCTGGGCACCTGTCCCCATCGATGGACCGGGGGCAGCTGTGAGCCCGTGGTGGGCGGTGACCCGCCCTCGCCTCTCAGGGAGCGGGGTCGGCTTGTGGAGGAGCTGCCTGTCTCCCAGGCATGCCGTCTCGTCTTCCCGCTCTCGGTGCACACAGGCCCCAGTCCCTCTGCACCCTGCTGTCCCCATCTGCCTCTACCCTACCCCACGAGGTGGCCTAGTGGCAGCTCTAACCCCACCCTCCTGCGCTGTCCTTTGAGGGTGCACTGCTCCCCTCGGTACTGCACAGCTGGGCTCCGGGTGTCAGCACGTCAGCCCCGTCAGCCCCGGGCACACGAGACTGCTGTGCTGAGCCGGCAGGAGGGTGGGGCGGGACCCTAGCTCTGAGCCATCGCTACACAGACTGTCCCCACCGGAATGGCTCTGCCCACTGCACACGCCCGCCTGCCCCCTCCCTGGGCTGCTCCCACCCTCGGTTTCACTCGGTGCCCACCCTTGCACAGTCAGGTCCCAAGACAGGGCTTACGGGAATCCCAAACCCAGGGGGAGGCCTGGTGGGGGGCCCCTCCCAGTCCTCCCCTTCCCAGGGCAGCTCAGGGCCTCTCTGGCTTCGGGCAGAGACAGAGCGAGAAATCACCCCGGGGGGACGGCCACGCCACAGTCCCTTCTCCATTCTCCTCTCAGGATTTCAGGCATGCACACACACTTGCCCAGTGTGAGTTTAAGCCACCAGGTCTGGGACTCGAACCACAGTCAGCCACCACACCACCGGCTGGCCAAGTTAGTTCTTAGTAAATCTCTTTGTACATGTTAATATTTGAGTTAAGAGACATGGTCATCATAGGAACATTCTGTGGGCTTCCTCCTAAATGTTCAAGATCCAGCGACTCTCACCTAGCATGTCCGTGGGCTCCAGTCTCATGGTGGTGCTCAGCCAGGCTTTGTAAGAGGGCCGTGCATCCCGTCAGTCCCGTGGAGGGCTTTACTCCAGCAGTTTAAAGGACCTGGAGGGAGAGCAGCTGACTTAGGGAACTCCGAGCAAACCACAAGAAGCTGCGCAGATGAAGGGTCAGTGACATCACGGCGCAGTAAGTGTTTTCGATTTCCCAGAGAGCACCCCGTTAGGACATGACAGTGCCAAAGTTTCTTCTCCCCCATTTCTCCCTCTTCAGGACTTGGGCACGCGTGCACACGCACCCAGTGAGTTCGTGCGGCTGCCCATGTGGGACCCAGCTCACTGGGCCACCAGGAGATGGGCCGGCCCGCCCGGACATGATCCGTACTCATTCCTGGAGACGCAGCAGACCCTCAATCTGACAGCACCCCGGCTCAGCGGGACAGCCAGGCAGAGCCCCTTCCACCCCGAGCAGCGTCCGCTTTCCATCAGTTACGCCTCGGCGATGCTGCGGGTGGGGCGAGGAAAGTAAACCCACGAGTTTTCACGGAAGACGTTAAAATAGCCCCAAAGTACCAGAACCGTCTGGTTTCACTTGTAATCAGAGAAAAGCAGCCCGAACACCCACCGCGTCTTCTCTCCCACCCTATCGGGTTAGCAAACAGGACCTCCTGGGGTGGGTGATGGCACGGGCAGAAGGCCTCTCGCCGCCCTGCACGCTCCACGTGGGGCCCCCGGCGCAGGTCCGCAGTGGCCTGAGGACGCCAGTGCCTAGACCCCCGGTCTCTGGCCGGCTGAGCAGGGTGGATCTTGGGTTGGGGCCCTGTTGGAGCGCTGTCTCCCCCACCCCCTGCCCTGGCTCTTGTTCATGAAAGAAATGCCTTTGAGTAGACGTGTCCTCGCGCGCGCCGCGGGCCGTGTGAGGAGTGCCCTGGTGCTGCGGTGGCGGAGCCCCGGGAGCTGCCGCAGGCTCAGAGCTCGTCTCGCGGTTCCCAGTAACCCTAACTGTGCTCAACTTCAGACCTGGACAATTCCCCGGGGCTTTTCCCAGCGACATAAGGACTTAACAAGCCAGGGTGTGGCCTCCCCGACTAGCCGCTGCTGCTGGACCAGGGTCCGTCCTGCCGGGTGGGTGAGCGCTCCAAGCCTGTGCTGCGGAGGCCAGGCGTGGTCAAGCCCCCAGGCTCCGGCTGACCCTGCTCTGCCAGGCAGGCCCTCGAGCACTAGAGGGTTGGAGGCGGGGGCAGGGCTTACCTCTCTGGCTCCAATCCGACCCCTGCCAGGCCCGACTCCTGCCCCATGCCAGCTGCCAGCCGGAGCCACCGTCAGGGGACCCTGCAGGGAGCCAGGGCACAGTCAGCCTCCTGCCAGCCGCAGCAGGACCCCCAGGGCCCAGCCTCAGGACAGCCATTGCTGGGTCTTTCGAGCTGTTTGTAAAAGCTGGGACTTACAGGGAGGCACTGAAAGGTCGCTGGCCTCTGAAGAATGACCTCTGTCCTTTTCCTTACAATTTTGCCTAGGGTGTGTGCTCACCAGAGAGAGAAGGTGAGAGCGCCCAGCAGGGACAGCCCCGTGCAGCCCACCCTCCTGTTCTCTCTGGACTCCGGCATGCACGCACACACCCCATGTCCTTCAAGCCACCTGGTCTGGGATTCGAACTGCACAGTTGGCCACATGGGGTCCAGCAGGCTTAACCTCTAACCACCAGCTGGCCTCAAATTACAAGGGATTTTAAAGTAATACAGAAAAAAAAGTCCTAAAAGCTGCTGGGACAAGAAAGAATGAGAAGAGCCGCAGGGCCTGGCCACGCGCCGCCACCCACGGCTGGGGGCGGGGGG